GTGGCCGAAGAACAAGGATGCAAACTAGAAGAAACATGCGAGTTTTTGGAGGATTTCCTTTGGTATTCAACAACCAAGTCAGCAAGCATAGTTCTCATCCTTTCAGAAACAAGATCTGTATTGGTAATACCAAATTTACCAGCATAGTACTCAACAATTTCCAATTTGTAATGTGGATCCAACACAACAGCCACGACCAACAACAAATGAATATCATCCCAATATTTGGCAAACTAATTCCACATATTCTCAGCCATAGAAACAATCATAAGATTAGGGTCACTTAACCATTCCAACAATCGTAACCTCAAGTGTTGATTCGCTGTTGGGTAGTTTGAACCAGAAAAAACCAAAGTTATGTCCTTGAAAACATTAAGTTTGTCAACCAAAACAGCAGCAAACTCCCACTGCTCGTTGGTAGGAACAGATTCATATTGAGCCTCCCTTATTTTCAATATTTCAAACACCTCCTTATAAGGGATAACAGCAGAAAGCATCTCATAGGTGGAATTCCACCGAGTGGGACAATCTGAAACCAATTTCTTAGAAACAAGTAGTTTTAGTTGTTGGGCAGTTGCATGGAAAGACTCCACCCTCCTAGGTGTGCATGTCCAAAAGACCATAGTCTCCCTAATTTGCTCAATTCCATCTTTCAGAACATCAAGACCATCCCTCACAATCAAATTAAGGATGTGAGCAGAGCACCTCATATGAAGAAGTGTCCCATTCCTAATTAGATTAGACAAAACCAGCATTTTTTCACTAGATTGATCATTGAATCATTGGTAGTACAATTGTCAAGTGTAATTGTTGACAATTTACTATCAATGTTCCAAGATTGGAGGCATTCAGCTAGCTTTACAGCCAGCCTCTCACTAGTGTGTGGGGCAGGGAGGTAACCAAACATTAAAAGATGGTTTCTCAACTTCCAAAAGTTGTCGATATAGTGGGCAGTCACAGCCACGTAAGCCTGTTTTTGGTTTGTGGCAGTCCACATGTCAGTGGTGACAACTATCCTCCCTATATTTTCGTCAAGAACCTTTTGAATCTTAGACCTCTCTAAACCATAAATAGTCACTATGTCCTTCTTTATGGTATTTCTGGTTGGGACTTTAAAGAGAGGGTTCAAGGTGCAGCAAATCCGTTTGAAATAAAGGTGCTCAACAACAGAAAGGGGATACTCATGCACCAAGATCATGGTGCAGAGCTCCTTTCTAGACACCTCACTACTAAATTGATTGGTACTCATATCAGCTGTTCCATTGGCACTATAGTTAGCACCAAGAACCTTTTGACTCCCATCGTAAATTTTTTTATGAACACATTTGTTTCTGTGAGTCCTAAGATGTGAAGTACCATTACTAGATTTCCCAACCAACACCTTCTTACAGTAGTTGCATTTAGCTTTCAATACCCCAGAAACCATCATCCTAGTGAAGTGAGGCCAGATATCAGATTTTAATCCCATACTAGCACCTAAGGGATATTGAGGAAGAACATCTTCCTCAACATTATTAGTATTACCAGGAGGAGGGGCAACAACATCATTAGCAGGTGGATTCTCAACGTGTTGGGGTTCCATCTGTCTAAGAGGAAGAAATAAAAAAAATGCTTTAGAAATATGACTATTGTCTAGTTGTATTACTTTGTTCGAGTTCTTTAAGATTACATATTAGAAGTTTACTGGATTTGGAGTTTATTGTATTCAACTTAATTAAAACGGATTAGCACTTTAGCATTGAGCATATTAGTAGATTCGAGTAGCATTACAACTGACAAGCAGATTACATATTACCCTTTTCAAATGAGAGAATAGAGATTAGCATTCAACAGATTACTAATTAGCATTCAAGTATTAACATCATTACTAATTAGCATTCAAGTATTCAACTATTTAAAATAGATTAGCACTTTAGCATTGAGCAGATTACTAGCCATAATATTGTGGTCTTTAGTGGGATTGAGCAACTTTATTGAGACCGCCCAGACTGTTAATTTTAGTCTATGTTGGCGACATGTCATGGTCTCCGAGACCTCCCCATTCCACATTCTCCAAGGCGTTTGTTTACTTTGGAGAATCTGGAAGTCTAGAAATGAAGTGACCTTTGAATTTACCCAACCCCATGTCCGTTCCTTAGCCAGACAGTTCTTCATCCAGGTCCTCGAAATTTCCAGTCTCCTTCCCCCCCCCTCCTCCCCGCAGCTCTCTACTCCCAAACATTTCAGCCACCTATTGGGTCCCTCCACCAGAAGGCTATTTGAAGATCAACGTCGACGCAGTTGTTAGCGCCTCCGGGTGTTCGACTGGGCTTGTTATCCATGGCTCAGACGGGCATGTTAGGTTGGCGGTCGGGTTGCAGCATCAAGGAATAGTCAACCCTTATCTAGCTGAACTTCAAGCTTTCAGGGATGCTATCTCCTTTGCAGCTTCAAGATACTTGTCCCACGTGATAGTCGAAGGCGACTCCGATGTGGTGGTCAACCAAGTCCGTCAAGGCGTCTTAGAAGATTCGATTGGAGGTCCGATGTTACGAGAGTGTATCCAAATCCTTAGCTCTTTGTCTGTTTGTATAGAGTTTAGGGCGGTACCTAGATCCGCCAACAGTGCTGCCCATAGAGTGGCGCGTAAAGCACTGCTTTTGTCTCTTGTAGAGCTAGAATCTTTTGATTTCTTGGGGGTGGCTTCAGTAGAGCCTTTTAGGGGTCCTGGGTAGAATTGTAAGGTTAACTATTATTTCTCATTGATATCACTCAGAAATAAATAAAAGACAAGCAGATTATATATTACCCTTTTTCATATTAGAGATTAGCATTCAACATATTACTAATTAGCATTCAAGTATTCAACAACATTCAGCAGATTATAAATTACCATCTATCATATTACATTTTCGAACTTAAGTACTTAACAGTTTAGATGTGCTCAGTACTTAAGTTTAGCATATACAAAATTAGGATTACCAGTTTTGAACTTACAATCATAAATTGACCAGTTAAGCTACTAAGACTAATGATCGATTGACCAGTTTAGCACATTACAGATTTCACCCTTTGGTTTACTTACAACATAATCAATTTGACAGGTTAAGGTTTAGCTACGAACAACCAACAACAAGGTAGGGTCGACCACTTACCTAAGCAGACTGCAGTTTAAGCACCAGCTGCTTGATGAGATTCCTGAACATAAAGGAGAAATCTGCACAAACACAAGCAAGCAAAATTAGTGTTTGTGAGTCAGGTTTAACTACGAACAACCAACAACATGCTAGGTCGACAACTTACCTAAGCAGATTGCAGTTTAAGTACCACCTGCTTGATGAAATACCAGCACAGAAAGGAGAAATCTGCAAAAACAGAGAAGCAGGCAAAATTAGTGTTTTCTATTCTGAAAGACTAAGCAAGCACTCGCAACAAATCATATAATGAACTACAGTATGCTAAACTTACTGAGAATGACAGACAAGCAGTTGGATTCCAAATCTGGAAGGCTAGGGTTTATGGAATTAGGGTTCGAAGAACTACAGATGTACAAAACGAAGAAGTGAGACTCCTATTTATACACGTTTAAGCAAAAATCAATTAAGGAAAGAAAGAATTGAATACTTTCTTTCTCGATCGGGGAAAGAACTCGTCTGCATGCACGATTCGGAGGCGATTTGCGTCGGTTGAGACATTTTAGGTGATTGAGGGCTTGATTAAAGACTAGCTTTGGGGTTATTAGCGATGGGATCGTCGATTTACTAGGGATTTCAGTAGAGAAATGGGGAGAAATCATCGGAATCGCAGAGATTTGGCAGAAATCGGCGAGTCGCCTTGACAGATTTCAGAGAAAATCGGGGATGAGGGTGGCTGGGTGTTTGCGAAAATGAAGTTTCCATACCCTAACTCTAAAATCGCCATTTATATATGTTGTACAAAACGGCGCCGTTTTGTTATTCGGGGCGGATACGGGGCGGGGATCTCTGAATCCGTCCCCAGTCCGTCACCAAAATCCACGGGTCACGAGTATACCCGACACCGCCTGAAAGCCCGTTTTCGCGGGTTTAAGCCCATCACTGGCGGCGGCGGGCCCTTGCCATCCCTATAGGCTAATGTCTTAAATTTAAGGGCCCGTTTAGTATAGTTTTGTTGTTGTTGTGGTTGTAGTATGGTTGTGTAACACAAGAGAAACCACAACAACATAAAAATAGAAAACAAAAATATGTTTAGTTGGTAATTATGACATATCATAGAAATCGACAACAAAAAACAGAAACGCGTTTAGTTCTTTGTAACGAAAAATCATAAGAACATTTCTCAATATACAGCAAAGGAAACATGGATTGAGCTGTTGAGCAGGGGAGGCCCGGCGACGACTGTTGAGTAGGGGAGGGGAGTTCGCGGCGGCGGCTGTTGAGCAGGGGAGGGGAGGTCGCGGCGGCGGCGGGTCGGAGGGCGGAGGCGGCGGGTTGGGAGGCGCGGAGGCGGAGGGTCAGGAGGTCGGAGGGTCGGGAGGGCGGAGGTGGCCGGCGTGGAGTGGGGAGAAGGCGTCGGCGTGTATGGCTGGAGGGGAGAGCGGCGCCTGTGTTTGAGACAAAATTGGAGAGGTTGGGGGCAGCTGAAGTAGGGTTTGGGGGTGGTGTTAAAAAAAAAATTGCTTCTGTGGGGATTCGAAAACTGGTCTGTTTTAATGAAATCAAACGCCCAACCAGTAAGAATCTTGTGTGCAACATGTTTAAGAATCATATCCAAAGCTATAAATTGTTGTTTCTCATATTTGGGCCTTGTTGTGCAACTCTGATTCACAACAAAAAATAAAAACCCAACTAAACACGATATTTTTCTTGGTTTTCCAAATTTTTTAAAACACAACAGGAAACAAAAACAAGCAACAATACTAAACGGGTCCTAAAAAATGAAATGGAAGAACTTAAAAAAAAAAAAACTGAAATGGAAGCCCAGCCCAGATGCACTTTAAAAGCTAGTGACTGGGCCTGTAGCATTAGTTCCTCTAGCCCAGAGCCCAGAACTCGCTTGGCAGACACAGCCGGCAGAGTTGGGCCAGATCTGCCGATCTTCTCCGCTGTGCCGCCTGTGCCTGTGCTGTGCTGTGCTGTGCTTTGTTCTTTCCTTTTCCTTTTTTCCCTTTTTTCCCCATCTTCTTCCTTGATTTGTCTTGCCGGAAAAGTGGACTGGTTATTTTGCTCGAGCTCACTGTTTGACGAAGAAGCAGCTGAAAGGAGAAGGTAAAAGAAAGCTAATGGCAGGCGAAGAAGTAGTACCAGAACCGAGTATGTCTTCGCCATCGCTGGAGGACAGGCCTGGAATCCTGATCATCGGTCCTTCCGCCGTCGGCAAACGCACCCTCCTCTCCCGTAATACTCTCTCACTCCCACTCTGTTTCCATTTCTCCGGCGCTTTGTTCATCGCCGCATAATCTGTAACAATTACTTCTTCCGCCGCAGGTTTGCTTTCGCTGGATCTCGAAGATGATCCCGATCCCGATTCCGATTCACAATTACTCATCCGCGGGTCAGTACTCCCTCTTAATCCCTCTTCAAATCTTCCCCTCTTTGGAATCCTAGGGTGAAATTTTTCGTCTCTTGGCGCCAACAGGTGGACAATCAACACTAAGTACTACTCCGCCGATGTATCCGTATGGGTTACTCATCTCACCGACGGATTCCGAATCGAGAACCTCCCGTCTCGCCGCCGATTGGCCGCCGTCATCATGGTTTTCGACGCTACTGATGTCAGTCTTCTTTTCCCCTTCCATTTCAATTGGGCTGTTCGTTCAGCATCTATTTGCTATCTTAATCTCGTTTTTGTGCAGCTCTCGTCGCTTGCTGCAGTTCAGGAATGGGTATCTCGCACCGATATCCACGAGTACGAGATACTGTTATGCGTAGGGAACAAAGTGGATCTTGTTCCGGGCCATCCAGTCCACCAAGAATACAGAAGGCGGTTGCTGCGGCGGCAGCAAAAGCTCGAGCTTGAGCAGTGTGCATCTGATGAGTTTGGAATCTCTGAAACAGAAGGTGCCAATTTGTTAGGCAACAATGTAGAAGAAGAAGAAGAAGAGGTAGTAGAAGAAGAAGATCAGTCGTTTCAGATCAGAAGGTCATGTATTGAGTGGTGCACTGATCGGAATATTGAGTACATTGAAGCTTGCGCTTCCAATCCCGAATTCGACAAATGTGAGTAAAGCTCTGTCCTTTGCTCTTTAGGCTTCAGTGACGAAATTGATCTAAAGAACAGATTCGTTAGTGGCACCTGTGTCATTTAAGTGGCAGAAGCTTTGTGGAAAATGTAGATTTAAATCAAGGTTCTTTTGCTGCCAAAAGAATAGTAATAAGCTTATAATCTTCACAGGTCTGTCTGTTGATGGCGATAGTCAAGGGATGGAACGAATCTTTGGTGCACTTTCTGCTCATATGTGGCCTGGAATGGTTTTGAAATCTGGAAATAAAATGGCTGAACAACCAATACCTGAGGAAGAAGGTTCTTTTACTTGCTCCTTTGCCATTTATTTACTGTGCTGCTATCGATGCTTTTTGTGCTAACTGGTTTGTGTGCAAGATGCAGACTTATCGGAGGAGTCGGATTACGAATTAGAATACGAGGTGCTATCCGCAGGTTCTGCAGAACCGTGGGATGATACCAGATGGGTTTCTGCCAGCACTACGACTTCCACTCCTAGTGAAGGGGAATCTAATGCACACGAAAAACATGTTGTTGCCGGACTTAGCAATGGGAACAAAGAAAGTTCTAGTACTGCATCAAATGCTGGAGGTGTCATGGGGACTCACCCTGAGGACGGAGAACAGGGTTATGAAGGAAATCTGCTGTCGTCGTCTGCTCAAAGAGAGGAATCATCAGAGGACGACAAAGGAGCAGTGCGAAATGCTGAAGTATCGGAAGCAAATGGTGAGGTTGAACCATTCGACTTTGAGGACTTGGAAAAGCTGATGTTTGAAATCGGTAACATAAGGGATGGGTTAAGATTGATGCCTGATGTACAGAGAAGGGAAATGGCTGCAAATCTGGCAATGAAAATGGCTTCCATGTTTGGAGGCGGCAGTGATGATGAGGAGCCTGATGGATTTGAATAATTTCATTAATTTCAAGCTGTAGGTGAAAAGAGATTTGTAAAGTTATGTGCTTCAATTTTCAGATTTTCTCCCTGGTATCGCATCTCTGAGTTGATGAACAAGCTACTGAATCATTATATGACGGTTTTTACGGGTTTGATAATACTTATAAACGGAAGTGCACGCATGCCACTAGCGTAGCATGTGCTTCATTTTTCTCATGGCACTGACTGACATTCTTCTCGTACAGTTGCTTCATGATTGCACCTCCAGTCTGTTGGTGGTTCTTCGTAGTCTTTTTGATCGACAATGAAATTGAGTGAATTGACTCGATTTGAGCACATTATTCCTCAACTAATTCTCAATAGGAATTTGATTTGGCGAGTTGACACACATGTATCGCCAAAGATATAGGAATGAACAGAATTTACATCTCACACGCTGCTAGCTGAAGATATAGCATCATTTATGGTTGTTTAAAGGAAACAGCCGGCTTCACAAAGCTGAAATCCTCCTCATTCCCATTACTACTTTCCTCCCCGGCACGATGATGGTGGGGGAGGGATTCATCCATCAAATTTCCAGCTCCAGAAATAGGAATCCGATCATCCAACTCCTCAGCTTCTTCCCCACCTTCATGATCCCTCTTGGTTCCTTCAATCAAACTCATCTGAACGATGGATGATGAAGGAGCAGGGGACAACGCCTCGGTTTCCATGTCCGACAGCTCATCATCATCGCGGTAAGCGTAGTAAGCCCGTGTAGAGTGGCCAGTGGTCTTGAAACGGTGCAATGTGTGGCCAGATGAGCCGGTGGAGAGCAAAGTTCTGGCAGTGGAGGAGCCATCTGCTGTCACAGACATCGGGCTTGTATCTCCACCGCCCAGAGTTCTGACTGATAAAGACGACTTCGAGCCTCTTCCTGCTGCCTTCTTCTTCTTCACGGCCATGTGCCACTTCTTCAAAGCCTTGGATGTATGCTCATCGAACACTGCTTTCTTCATGTTGGAACCCATCTGTGGAAAAAAAAATGCATTTGGCCATTGTATGTGAATTACTGTTCACGGTAAAAATTAAGTTGATGAGAATGTTTTACTAAAGTACTAGGCACCTGAGTCACGAGTGCATGAAGGGGCAGCGTGATGTAACTGCAAAGGAGTAGGACACCAACACTGCAGAAGCAAGAGGCACAAAGCAATGCTAGTGGAATTAGATGTAAAAAAGAAGAAATATCACCAAAGATGACCAAAATTTATGAAGAAATACCTACCCGATGCTGACTTTGACGATGGCAAGCGTGAAATTAGCATGGAAGCACGATTTCATGCCAAATGCATACTGCAATGTACACATACAAATGGTCAACTATGAGCATGTATGTCATCTATCGACTAATGCAGAGCTAGAAAAGGAAAGTCCATTTACCCATATCCACAGGAAATATGTTATCTGGAAAGCATTCTGCAGGATCCGAAGAGAAGAGACGGTCAATAGTAGAAGAAGTAAGTGGAAATGACAGGTAAGTGCAAACATATATGTAATGTGATTAGATTCAAATGACAATTGTTACTAAGTTTTTTGTAGTTATACATGTGGTGTAAGAGTTACCTGAAATAAAGCAAAGTGGATTAGATGAAGAACTAACTGGGGGCGACCAAACCAAAAGTATTTATCTGACCCTTGCACAAGAGGTATTCCTTGCACTACTGCATGCCTGTCTGAGATGTCGATTGCCATCTTCGTCAAAATGGACTGAAGCTCCGTTCCAACTGCTAAGATTATCTGCAGCAAGACATCTTAAAATGTTCAGATCTTTATAATCATAAAAAACATCAGCTTTCTTTCTTAGCATTTGAAAGATAACACTTTTTTTTCCTAGTCCCTTACAATGACGGGAATTATGGATGCCCAAAAGAGTGCTCGCCAACCTGAAACCATAACCAAACCCAGTCACTTACTGCAAATAAACTATGCTTTCAAATTCTTTGGACAAGAACCACTGCAAGCATAGACTTACCGTTAACATTCACAAGCAGGAAAACCACAAAAGACGCCCACAATACAGGACTGTCAATCGCATTCAAATGAATTCAGTTATTAATCCAATTCTATACTCTCCTATCCAAGGCAACTGTCGAGAAAAGAAATAATTTATCATGACTACTATATAAAAAGGACATGCTACCTCACTCCGACCACTAGTTTGAAATCATCCTCCAACGACCTCTTGATGTACTTCTGGAAATTGAACTTACTTCCCGGAGCTAGGTGCACCTATTGCAATGAACAAAACCCACTGTCATAAGGAAAGAGGGGATTGATATCTAGCTAAGTTCCCAACTTAAAGAGAAGTTGGCTATAAGGTTAAGCCAAGGGATATAAACGACTTACGGAGATGAACCCATTGCGCAATGTCATGTAGTCAGACTTACTAACAGATCTGAAGAACTGCCTACAGAAGCATCCCTGCAGTGGCCAGAAACATTTAGTCTTTTATTCTTGTGTAATCAATTTGTTTCCCAAAGATTAGAGCATCATCTTCATCTATTTTACAAATAAAAATGAAAGTTTGTGTACATGAAATAAAGTATGGTTAGTATGATCTTACAAAATAAAAAGGTATGATCTTACAAAATAAAAGAAGACTGGAATCTTTGTCCAGAAACTGGTATGTGCTCTCACGAATGATGTCTCATGGGTAAGCCGGAACCTTGAAGGATCTGTTAACAAGAGCATGTTGCATGAGAAACCAAATGTAAAGTGGTTTTCCAAAAACATACAACAACAGAAACATCAACACGGAGTTTAGCATAGAAAGTTTGACCAAACTACCATTAGAGAACTCATAATCATGGGAGGAAGTTTCTTGCTCCCACTCCTTCCAGCCACGAATCTGGGACATTAACAAATCAACAATCAATCAAGTTTCCTAGAGAACTTATGCAAAAGATGAAGTAAAGGGAATTTCTCATGAATTCAGAAGCAGAAAGTCATATCTACAGAAGTATGTATGCACAATGGAATGAAGACAATAAGCCGTAATATACCTTCAGTCTCCCGAGCATCATGGTTACAAAACTATAGATCACATGAAAGACGGCTAAGAAGAAAATGAGGATGTGCAGTTGATGCAGTCCATTGGCTGATATAAGTGGTACATGCCCCTGTTGAGAAGAGTCACATCAGTAAGATACACATTATAGACTTGTAAAGTTGAATAGAATGGCCATTAGAAATTCTGAGTAGTTTGACTAATCTCATTCAACTTGACCATCTACTCAAAATTTACCAAAAACCCTGAACTTGACTGGTCAATGTCCAAACCAGGTCATGATCCCTTCCTCATAAGTCTCAAACTACATACACTCACCAATTGTCTAACTTGATGGAAACCATCTCTCGGTTTAGTAAGAACGAAATACAACAGCAACACACAATGGATTCTTTTTAGGAGGCACGCTATGAACGATGAGCATTTCAGCTAACCAAAACCTACAGACGACTTATAGTCGACCACAGTCAAAACCAACTAACTCATCACTAGTCATGAGGGCAAGAATTGCAACACAGACCTCCTTGCACTTTGTTGCAGAGTCTGCACCAGCTAACATTCTGTGTTCAAACCACAACAGTCTCCGACGATGTTCCTCCTCCGTATCAGTTTTGTGCTCACCTTCATAAGGACATGGCAGCATCGAATTTGCCACGTCTTCGGAAACACAAATCTTCAAGAAGTAGTTCTGACCAAAAGTCAGCAGCAATGAAATGAAACCCAGAACCATAAGCTCTGCAACAACCAAAACCCAACAATTGCTTAAAACCCTGTAGTAAAGGTTCCAACTTTATGAAGCCCGCAGTACAATTCAGAGAACCCACCAGCCTTAACCTTCTCCAAGGCCTCGAATAGAGCTCTCTTGTGCCTTTCTGTAAACCACTGCAATTTTAATCAAGTTAGAAGCTATCGCAGAATTCAAGCACAAAATACAGAAGCTTATCGTGTACATACCGAGCCAAGTTTGTGAAGAAGCTTCTCAAGGAGGATAGAGATTATGACGATAACAGCACAGACACCGGCGACGGCCCAAGTCGGAGTCTGATTCAGCTCCCTCTCAGGCCCGCATGCGGTAGCCGCCGTAACCAGCGCAATTCCGCCGCCGTGGGCAAGCCATAAACACAGACTGACCCACACCAACTTCATGCCGAGAATCGCAAACAGGGGAATGGTTGATTGATGAATAGTAGGCAAAGGCAAGAAAGGAAAACTTTATAGAAGGAGAGATGAAGCCGGACAAAATCAATCAAGAGTTGGGTTGGCTGTTTGTTGCTTTGGTAGGGAACAAGAAGAAGAAAGAATCATCTGCAAAAAAGGCAATGAAACAGCGGTCGGGAAGAAGCCTGTGGCTGCAGCTTTCGTTTTCCCCAAAACACCTACCATTACCAACGCCATGGCGCAAGGAGAATTAGATTAAACAAAAGGGTATAATGGAATTCCCCCTTCCGTTTGCATATCTACACACGAGTCCAATTGCCATTAACAAATGATATACAATCCAAAATGACAGGGGAGATGAGATGGGATAGCCACTAACCAGTCCAGTAAAGCGAGCAGCAGCAGCAGCAGCAGCTCCAATGATTCTGCTCTGCAAATGGATGACGAAGCATGGACCAAAGCGAATTTCTGTACCTTTTTGCACTCTGCTTTTCCTTCGGTCTTTTGTTTTCTTCCGGCAGTTTTCGTTTTATTAAAAGGGGTTTCTTTCCTTTTGGGTCAATGCTTTTATTAATGTTGGTGAGCAGTTTAAAAAAAAAACGAAATGTCAATACGGTTTTGAAACTGGGAAGCTACTATTCACCTGGGTGGGTGAGCAATGAGCATGTGAACAAGATGGCTAGTTTGGGGAACAAAGAAAAGGACTGGCAGCCTTGATTGGCGCCACAATTCTGTGTTTTAACGGTATCATCAGTCTCTACGCGGATTTCATTTCGCGTACATGTCCCCGGCCGGACAATTACTCTGCTGAGATATTCTAAGCTTGTAATGAAAATGAGACACAACATGCTATTTTGCCAAACGTTGTTGACCGAAGTGCTATTTTGCCAAACGTTGTTGACCGGCGCCAACCCCATGCGACCCGACCTTCATCATGTCATTTCTAACCTCCGTCGGTTTAGAGCATAGCTGTCAAACCAGATTATTTTAAGATGATATGTTAGAAAATCTCTAATATTAGATAAATTATATATATATTTGACATATTTTAGACAATCTCACTGATTTATATTCATATATTACCAAATTATTACTTCAAAAGACATATATATTACAAAATTATCAATCATCATCTTGGTCAGACCATCCGGTTTAACCTGTTTAACCCAATTTTGATTGGTTTAATTGAGTGAAATTAGTTTATAGATGAAGTCTTTCACTTATCTAAAGTAGGGCTGGATTTTCGGTTATAACCGATAACCGAAATGTCGGTTACCGGTTAACCGCGACGTTAGTATCGACTACCGCCAACCGCCCGATGGAAACCATTGGTTAGCCGGCAACCGACCGGTCGGTTACCGGTTAGTTGCTCGGTTAACCGAGGTAACCGCAACGCATGATATGAACCGGTTTAACAAATTGTTTCCATCGACTCTTGAGACAAAAAAACAATGGCGGATTGGGGGCCGATAGTGCTACACAGTATGGACGCGTCGGGGAGGGGATGGTGGTGTTGTCGGCAAGCGGCAGGCGGCAAGAGAGTCAGGGGCAGGCGGTGGCGGCAGGGGAATGGCGGACAGGGGCGGAGACACAGTGTTAGAAGGGTGTGCCACGGCACAACCTTGGCTCGGGGCTAGAACATTAAAAAATAGGGGTATTAGTTTATGCTATAGCTAGGATTTGAACATGGAACTCCCTTAGTATTAGCTTTGACATCGTCCACTAAACAACAATTACTTACATGATACAATAATACGTTCTATTGCATATATATAATTTACCGTTTACAAATAATAAGTAAATTAAATTAAAAAATCTCATAATTACATGCTTATTCAAGAAATAAACGAATGTATTTTACAGACTTTTCAAAATATGAAAACCCATCGTGATAGTCATTTTAATTTTTTTAAATTGGCACCCCCTTACTCAAAATCCTGGCTACGCCACTGATGGCGGAGACCGCGGCGTTGTGGAGGGCGATGGCGTAGGCTGGAGAGCGGCTGGCGTCGGGTAGGGAGATGGTGGCGGCGTCGGGCAGGCGGCAGGCGGAGTCAGGGCGGCAGCGGCGGCAGGGAGAGTCAGGGGTCTCGACTCTCGCCGTCTCGTCACGATGCAGAGGAAGAGGAAGGGGACAAGGGTGGAGTGGAATGGCTGTCAGATCGATTAGGTTAGGCCGTTAGGGTTAGGGTGTGAAACGTGGAATCCGGCGTCGTTTTTAGGAGGTTATCTATGAGACGGTTAGTCGGTTTAACCGCGATTATAACGGTCGGTTAGCCGATTAAACGGCCTCGCCAACACCGCCCGCACCATTTAATTTCGGTTAGTCGGTTGACCGGTAATCGCCGGTTATCGGTTTAACCGACCGGTTAACCGACAACCGAACCTCCCTCCCTAATCTAAAGTATCCCTGGGCGAAAATATGATTTAACATAAGAAAAAATAGGAGAAATACAATTAAACAATGAGACAAATCAAGATAAAACGGGTAAAGAAACTGGGGGGGGTAGTACCTTGTTATGGGAAATAAACAATGAGACAAATCAAGGTAAAACGGGTCAAGAAACCGCGGGGGGGGGGGGGGGGGGGGGGAGTACTTGTTATGGGACAATCCAAATTACACATCGGAAATATAAGGAAAGGAACCCTTGTATATAAGTGTCCACCAACCTCATTAGTACGAGGCCTTTTTGGGAGGACACCCAAAAGTAAATCTGTGCGAGTTTGACCCAAAGCGGACAATATCATACTAATTGAGCTGTCCGATTATAACAAGTGGTATCAGAGTCTGATTGTTGATCTGGTTCGAGAGAATATACGTGAGAATATTGGTCGTCCGCTGCAATACTCAGGAGCTAGCCTTCAGTTTGGTTTGGTGGAGGAATCGCTTTAGGTCTTCTCCAAATTTGATTTGCGGTGGAATTTCGGTTTCCCCAACTTGGAATTTGCTGTAGAGTTGTCGTACCTGTCGCAATAAAACTATTGTGGATTTGTTGATTGCTTGGCTTGAGAGATTAATTAATGTGATTTATCGCAATTAGTGGTCCCCGCCAAAAGTTGAAGGAGAAGCATACGAAGTTAGGGGTGGAAGTTTGGGTTGCGGGTAGTGGATAACCCGCAAATCGCACCAACCCGCACCTATTGTGGATAACCATATCCCCAAGTTGTGGGTAGAGGGTTGGATGTGGGTAGTAAAATAACGATTTTGGTGGATAGTGGTTATCCACTACCCATCGCGGTTAACCCACAAAATCCACAATAACCACACTAATTATATTTATTTAGTGAATTAACATTATAATATAATAGTATGTGAAAAGTGCGAGAATAAAAATTAAAGTAGCCACCAAATAAAAAAGACACACCTAATCAGTTTTATGTAAGAATTTTTTAGTTTATAAAACACTATAATCGATAGAGTGGAGAATAATCAATTCATTAAAAGTGAACACCATTTGGAACTTTTATCAGTATGTTTTGCTTTTGTGTGAAAAAAAATACAAGATCATATTTAATTGTCATATTTCACCCCTAGTCGGGGAAATATGAAATCATAACTCTCTGACACAAAAGTTGAATACCAAACTCAAAAAGAAAAAATCTCCACGTTGAGTAAGATTACAAAATTGTATCTCAACGAACAACACAAGTGTATATCACTATAGTCTAGTTACGAAAAACAAATACGTAAGTGGTGACTAGACCTCTATGCTTGCAAAGATGGATTTTTGCGGGTAACCACACCCAACCCGCACAAACCCATAGTGGGTAGTGGTTACCCACTAACCACTGCGGTGTGGGTTGTGGGTAGCATAATTGTAAATTTTTGGGTGTGGGTACCCGCAAAATGTGGAGCGGGTAATCACACCCACCCCAATTTTCACCCCTAGACGCAGTGGCCTTTGTGAAGTTTTGTCTTATTTGGAGTTTTGATTATTATTACAGTTTGGTGGAGTAATCACAATTCATTAGTTGTTGCGCGCAAACCAAAAGTTGAAGCTAGTGCTTGTCTGGTTTTGGGTTGCGATTTGGAATTTGGAAGAGTACGACAAAGTTTGAGCTCTTTTGTGGCCGGTTGAAGTTGTGTCTTTTGGGTAGTTGCGATTTAGCCTCGTTTGTTTGGTGAGAAGTTTGGTTGGAGTTTGTTGGATAGCAAGGATGGCTGCTATTAGTATGAAGATTGATAAGTTCACTGGGAGAAACAGTTTCAGTTTGTGGCAGATCAAGATGCAAGCACTGTTGAAACAACATGGTTTGTGGGCTCCGTTGTCTGAAAAATCGAAGAAGAAAAGCATAGATGATGAAGAGTGGAGTACTTTGGAGGAGAAAGCTCACTCTACAATCTTGCTTTGTTTGTCTGATGACATCATCACTGAGGTTGCTGCCGAGAGAATGTCGCGGGCTTGTGGTTGAAGTTTGAAAGTCTATACATGACAAAGTCTTTAACCAACAAGTTGCATATGAAGCAACGTTTGTTCAGTTTGCGTATGGAGGAAGGTACGTCTCTTAGGAATCATCTAGATCAACTCAATATTATCTTGTTAGATCTGCGGAATATTGATGTTAAAGTAGATGATGAGGATGATGCCTTAATTCTGTTAGTATCTTTGCCACAGTCATATGAGAATTTTGTGAATTCTTTTATTGCTGGGAAAGATAGTTTGTCTTTGGAAGATGTCAGATCTGCTCTACATCCTAGGGAGGTTCGACATAAGGGGTCTAGTTCAGGTTCGGAACATCATGCATCTGGGTTGGATGCTACCAGTAGTAGGAGACAACAATCTGGTAATAGGAAGACGGATATAAATTCGAATTCTGTTGGTTTGAAGGATGGTACTGTCATTACTGTAAGGAGAAAGGGCATTATAAATTTGATTGTCCTGAACTAAAGAAATATAAGGAGAAGAAGGAATCATCTGCTGTTGTGGCGAAATAAACTAACTATGATTCTGAAGATGGTTTAGCCTTAGCAGTGAATGAGCAGGTACATCATCAGGATATGTGGTATTTAGATACTGCAGCTGATAATCATATGTGTCCAAGCAGGGAGTGTTTTTCAACTTATGAGCAGGTAGATGGAGGACATGTTTCCCGTGGCGGATCCAGAAGTTTTTTGTAGGGGTGTCCTCTTTCAAAAATTAAATTCAATTAATAATTAAATAATTAAATAAATAATAAAATATCCAATTAGTACAAATGTTGACAAAAAGCCACGATGTGTTTTCATATTTCGAAAACAATATAAGATAGATCTGGTGTCTACACTGCTCAACAAATCGGTATATCCTACTAAATCGAATATTCAATTTCTAACCTTGTTCATGATGTAATTCAAAGTTGAAAAGACTGTTTCAACACTTGCAGTGTAACCATAAAATCAATTCAAATTAGGGCACCCCTGGGGATAAAAAATCATGTTTTTACCATTACATAGTATTTAAAATCGAACAACAAATGAATTATAACCTAATGGAGAATATGTTTAATAATAGGAGTGTCCTAGATTTGAATAACACAGAGTACCACTTATATTTTTTTAATCATACACAAACTACTATCGAGAGTAAGATAATCGTTTATTAAAATTTTAGGGGTGT